TGGTTTATATGTGCGCATATAAATCATGTAGATCCTTCTATCAAGCTTCTCGTCTATTCAACTATGACGTAATTACCTGTAAGAACTCTACCGTAAATACTAAGCCTCAGAGTTTGGATTGTACCGGTTACCCTCAATATGATTGATTTAGTTTTTTATCTTCTAGCACTAAATATAGAAGCATTCACTAAATGCTTATGTGCTGGCCACTATCTATCTGACTCCGTAGCCTTCCAATATATAGATATGTATGTATTTATAATACTCAAATTAAGTATAATGACCACGTGGCACCTTATGTGCCTTAAGTACGGTCACATCAACATACTGTATACCTAAAGTAAATCCACACAACAGTGGTGTGGCAGGTGTGTTTGTTCAATACACACCTTTGTGTAACCCCAAAGCAAGCATAATATACTCAATTATAGCACAAATGAACGTTCGCTGCTAATGATTAATGATAAAGCTACATAGCCAACGCAGAGAGAATAAATGTGTGGCTTTTTTTTAGCGTCTCGGTGCTGCTAATATGCCAGCAAATATGCACTGAGAAATGCTTAAGGATGATGGCTTGTTTGACCAAGAACTTTGCTATTGTCAGAGAACACCAAAGCTTTGGAAGCAAAATCGCTCTACGGCGTGCTTAATGGGCACAATACAATCTTGGGCTATTGTTTTACTAAGTGGCTTTGTATTTTTGTCATTCGGACAGCCAGACGTAAAGCTCCTCAACAACCATAACATACCAACAGGTCCTGTGCATTTCACTAATTATGCGGAAACAAACTGACCTTATTGCAAATGTCACGAGAATCATAAATACGATGGTTAATATTGTTCTTCAAAGTGTAAGTCATTTGTTGATGAAAAGTATCCATGTGTATGTTATACGTGAAATTCCATATAAATAACATGGTACTTTTGTCTGCGCAAAACTTTAAAAGCTCGCCGACTAAGCACCGAACAATACATAATGCATTAATGTCTTTGGCAGCCTCGCTTGGTCGTCTTCGTCAGACGGCCAAATACAAGGTAATGCAACGGACATGTATTACGTATATACTTACGATCCTCCCCCCCACAAGAGCTTTGCGCTCTTCTTACTCATAACTCCGATGAGGTGATCTTGAAATGCATCTACGTCGAATTGCCTGGGAGGTGTTGTCATTGGAGAGCGTCACGAAGAGCGCTGCAAACACCACTATCAACAATCCCCATGCCGGAATACTAGACGCTTTGTTCTTGAAAGAATGGGCTACCTGTAGAGCTTGCCGCACGGACGGCTTCTTGTTCGCCTAACTTAGCGCCGTTCTTCACGTGTGCGTCTACTACAGGTTGCATTGACTCGTCTACCTGCTCTTCCTCCATCTCTCGTACGACTTCGTGCAACGGTTGTTGAAATAAACCGTTGGCCAATTGAACTGGCGTAAAAGTGAGATCAGCTTTCATTTTCCAGCCGTCGCCAACAATTTTCTCCACCTCAGTGGCATTCGAGTACGGGACCCAATGCAGCTGTCCGCAGGAATTGGTCTCATTCATCCAGCCCTCAAGACTTTGGTTTGCAAACTTCATGTACTGCTCAAACGAGCGAGCTGAACCAAATTTATATTTGTCCAGCTCGTAAGCGTCCACTAGACCCTTAAATCCCATTCCAATACGGAGACGGACGCGGTTGTGCGTCATCTCCATCAGCTGCTTCTGCACTGACGGATCAACAGAAAATTTCCAAAAATTCTCCGGTTTCTTCGAGTAGTTGTGATACAAGACCGTGCCTATTTTACTAGGGGAGTACAAGTCATAACCATGCGTCCAGTAATCTATCGAGCGCAAAAACTCCTCACCATCCCAAAGCCACGGCGTATGCGAGTCCACAAGCACATTGCGTTCTGCGTGACACTTGCTAAAGGACAAACCACCTCCCCACAGAGCTTCCAGCTGGGGAAACTCCGAATTTTTCTTAATGCTTGCCCCAGCAATTCGAACAAGACCGTTGCTGCCTTTGATCGTACTGCACAAGTGTGGGATCCAGTCTGGTGCATTGTTATCTCCATTTTCCTTGATAAAATCATGCAGGTTGTGAGGATAAACTGTCAAGATAGCCATCTCATTGTCAATTCTTTTCCACTCGTTCAACATGACTTCATCCCATCCATTTGTAAAAATGCTATGACCATCTACTTGAAGACAAAACTCTTCATCTCCCACCATTTGTTGCTGTTGGTGACGTGCAGTCGTGCACCCAGAAGCTTCAGCTGCTGGTCGTATATTTACCTGAATATAGTCCTTGTAGCGACACTCAGGATAATCGGACCACTCTGCCACTGCCATCTTGCAATACTCATCTATACACTTGGGGTCTCCGTCTGCTAATTGCTCAAGTATTCCAATACGCAGTCTTTCAGGATACACGGCACGCTTTAATGCTGTAAAAAGAGTCTTGCCACAGCGATATCCGTCTCGAAATACTGATGAGCCAATGTGAATCTGAAAAGTACTCGGAATCTTTGCTGGAGGTGGTCTTAATTCCTTTTGCGAAATGTCCAATGGAATATGTTGTACACTTGGATCTACTTCAAGAACCTGTTGCGAGTTAACCACTTGAATCGTGGGGATTTTATTATTTCTACTGGTTGTAGGCTGCAATAATATAGCCAGCGTTACCATTAGTAGTAGGTTTTTCATCGTGAATCTACTTAGGTGGGGTAATAATTGAGAATGACGTGGCAGTCACGAAGCGGTGATTTTCTACCAAAATGCGAACGCTGATTGGATACAATCATGATTTGATCATACATGCGCCAGAATGAGATTTGTTGACGATTGACCACCAGACGTAATTAATGAATACTTGGTCAGACTTGGGTCGCTTACGACAGCTCCCTACCACCTGACGCAAGCCAGCGCTAGGATTTACTGGAAACTGGGTAGTCACATACTATAGTTAGAGGTAGAGAGACTGACAAATTCTGTGCCGTTTACAGTCGCAATCTGAGGGACACTGGATTCGTTTTGAAGCACATCCTAGCATCTACTCGACGATTTCGAACGTCTGCGTGTTGGTCTACCTCAACCAACTGGCTTACGCCCCTTGCAAGGGTATAACTTCTCAGCATACCTTTGGCTTCTATTACTCACGGTCTTGCAATCAAGGCGACAGCGAATAGCTGCTAGCACCAGGACCCCAGACCCTCTGACTCATCTGCACGGCCTCACGGATTGTCAAGTTTGGCATACATGTCAGCTACGCACCATCTGAACTCGTTCACACGGATCAGTACCCCTGAAATCCATGCCCCACCGGGACCCAATGAGCCGGCGAAGGTGAATGTTCGAGCACCTATCCGTTTGCTCAAACGACTTGGGAACAACTCGTCAGACACTGGAAGGAAGAAGCTAGGGTGCAGCCTGGGTGCTTGCAGCGTTAGAAACGCGCATTTGCGGCTTAAACTAACCGTTCTTCTCGTGCTATATATCCGACGGATGGTAGCCCGATGGTATTCAGACCATCCGGATGGTGGTTCTGCCAATTGGACTCGATGTTGATAGATCCTTGGAACGTCTCCACAACGAGCCTTTGAATCAAGCGTGTAAGTTGTGTCTTCCGAGACATACAGATGACGGTCAGGGAGGGCATTGGAGTATTGAGGCAGTCCGGCAACTCGAAGGCGTCCTGTCGCCGGACGTGACTACCGCATGGCGGACGCTGACATTCGCGCCATTTTACACGCATGCATCGCGATCCCCACCTATCTACCATATTCCCACGGAGCTACTTAAGCATTGTACAACACAACGTCGCGCCCTTCAGCGCCACAGTTTTTATCTCGGCAATATACGTGCCAGGAACCATACACCAAACAGTATATTGATATTTTGAATGTCTTCTCTGTCACCTTTACGATGGACCTAAAAATGGGCTAACGCATTAGAAACGCTACCTTAGCTATTGTACGCCCGTGTCGATGTTAACTCAGGGTTATTGGAGCGCGTCATCAAGATGGCATAGTAAACAAAATTCTATTGGCCGCAGTAATAACGTCATGTGCAGTTCGGTTCCTAAGCTTCTGCGTTGATAACAATGATACGAACGCAATAATCTTGGTCGAAAAGGACGCATAAGAGACGTTTCATGCCAATTACATAGCACCCTATATGGCCTCAACCACTTTCTCATGTCTTCACTGGGCACCTACCAACCAAGACTAACCACCGTCCCCTCTTTCTCAAGAGCAAATGAGGTGGGCGATCGACCTTGGTGGGTAGGAAGGTGCCCTGAGAAAGCATGGAAAGTGGTGAAGGATATAATAGATATCTCGTAATCGAATCTAAGAAAGTTTTGTTGATCCATGTGTTCTGCACGACTGATTGTAACCTCGCTAGAAAGGCAAACATCAGGTCCAGCAACACATACGTCTACATCCGCATATGTATATATATTATATTTGCCCTATCACAAGATTGGAGCAGTGCTCAAGTCTCTATTACATCGGTGTTATGACGCGCAATGTACCGGACACGTTTCAGCTACGAACGATGGTACTAAAGCTTGATGCTCAACGAGTTCACACATTAGTCAGGCTCAAAAGATCATTCAAGCCAGGCTGACCCGCCACTTTGCCGTCTTTTAAACGTGCCAACACGCACAAGAGTGGTCGAAACGTGAGCGCAATGCAAATTCTTCCGACTACTTTTGTGCGCGTTGGCTCGCTTTGTGACAATGGTTGGATCTACTGCACCATAAACTGGAGTTGTTTTACCCTGGCTTACACCACATTTTATCTCCCTTCGCATCGCAAGCTACTACGTAACTCGCACGATCATTTGAAAGGTTGATATTTTTCCGGTCGCACCTAGATTTGATTTCATTCGTCTGCAGAAAGCAGCAAGCTTTCATTCATGACAACTCAGCGAAGATACCCGGACAAAATCTAGATTCAACTTGCATAGTATGTGACCAGCTCAACGCTGAACTGTCTTGCCCGGTCTGACTTCTAGATCTATCGCACACTAAGTCGCAATGTATCAGCATAATGTAGTTATCGCACTGCTTTCTAAATGAATGTTCACTGCAGGAAAATGTGTAGGGTCCTGTTGATAGGTAATTCACTCAGTTACCTTTTGGAAAGCGCGGCCTTGCTTCTTAGCGTGCGCAAATAGTTTTGTCTTGACTCTTTGTCGTCGTAGTGTATTGGCCCTTCGTCTACTTGCTGGCGTCCGACTGAAGTTTCCTCTCTGGAATCCAATACTTTATCATCCATGCGGCTACAAATTTCAGTATCGTCACACTCAGCAGACTGCTCGCTTAAGAAAGTTGCCGTATCATGGGCTAGTAGAAACTCACGTATCTCAGCAATGTGCTGTCGTTCTCGAGAAAATTTTGTGTCCGCATGTAATGCTTGCACTAACCTGCTTGTCGTGCTGTTAAATGCACGCTGAAACCTCTTGGAAACTTGGGGCAACAGAAGTTTCACTGGTGATGTCAAACTAATGTCGCTTGCGCCAGCAGCAATAACTGGATCCGTAACCGTGATCACCGGCACCAGAGCCGTTTCATTTGGGAAGTAGTTGCAATGCTCTGGCACATCAACTTGTACTCTTGAAAGCATAACTTGGCATCCAGAGCGTGTCAAATCCAGCTCTCGTGCAAGGTACCCTGTGATCCTTGCCCCAGCCGCACAGTGCTTCAAGACGATATCCAAAAACTCGTGCCACCGTGACCTAGATTCAATCAAAACGATGTTATGAGTGCACCATGGTCTCCAATCATCCTTTAGTAAAATATCTTCAAACAGACCGTTGTTTTCCAATTCCTTGTTCACTTACAGATAATTATTTGGCTTCGAGTTCTGGTAACGGATAGTCGTCAAAGAAAACACAGTCATATTGGTCCAATTCAGGCAGCACCTTTTGCCATGTTCCAGGCATAATTTCCACTCGATTATGTCTTGCTGCAAACATTCGAGCCCGTTGCAACGTTTCTAAATCGCATTCAACGATAACGTGACTTTGTGGCTTGAATGTCTGGATGCGAGAAGACGAATAGGCCAATCCAGAGCCAATTTCCAGTACACGGTCCGTCAATTGAATATCTAAAGCATCGACGCACAGTTCCATGTATTGTTTCTCCCATTGCATTATTACTTGTTGTCCTCTGGAGCTCCACAAAATCTCTTGTCCGAGCTTATCTCGTCCTGTGCTATTGCCATGCATTGTCCTTGTCAGGTATGTTTTTTGTCTTGAATAACGTATTGATACAAAAACAAAACTGAGAGGTAATTACGATTGGAGTGACATCAATGGGTTTACTCAATTGTTTATGTCATTTTTGTACGGTCGCTCGGATGGCCGGTTTACTTGAAGTGTGCAGACGCCGTAGCGCTTACACGTGCGGTGGGGAAGACTCCTTAGTTGGCCGCTTGAGTGATCACTTGAGCTGACTTTGCGTTTGCCAAGCAGTGACGCGTGGCGCGGGGAACGCCGCCAGCTGTATATTCTCCCAGTGGCAGCGAACGCACCTTCCCCAGGCAGCATCATGCCCATTTCGGCTACCAAAAGGCAGGATTTCCGACGAAGGGTTGCCCGTGTTGCGGCTGAGAAATGGCAGGCGGCTACAAAAAGGCAGGATTCTTGACGAAGGGTTGCCCGTGATGTGGCTGAGAAATGACACGCTTGATGTGACGATAAATATTGGAATGCCTTTATGATAGTATCGAGCAATTGTCCGTCTATTTGATACTTAAGTGGAACTGAAACTTTTGGAATAACAAGAGTGCAATGGATTAATCTCGATCACTTTTCAAGTGTAGCTTGATAGGAAACAACTCCAACCTCAGCAGCTTTACCAACTACTGACTTGCAAGGCAATATTTTTGGAATGGCAAAGCTATTACTGTTTCTATGAATGAGATGACTGAAAAAGTCGATCAAGCTTTCGTAGGTTCTGTGCAGCCTCTCTAAAGTGAAGTAGCTCCATCTCGGGATCGAATTTGGCCAAGATAAGACGTTGTTGCGCAGTTTGCCAACAATAAATGTGATTAGCTGCGTCGTCGCCAAGGTGGTAAAGACCAGGTGATGTTTAAACTTTTACAGCATTAAGATACTGCATGATATGTGGCGACAACACGTATGGAGCTATGAGTAGTGGAATGCTCATGCTTGTGCCACATCCCATACAAGCACTAAACTACGATTACTCATGGCAAAAGCAGCTTCTCACGTCACAGGAGTTTTACTGGAGATGAACGTCAACGCAGTCTGCTGTATACAAAAGATGACAATATGATATGAACACAAGACCACACCCACCCAGGGCCAACGACTCCTACGATACCTGAAATATCTGTTAAAAGTGTGCTGATGTTTTGAATTACTCGTCAAAAGACGGCGGCATCGATTCATTCATGCCAAGAATGCCGATGTTTTGCGAGCTCACCGCAGACCACAACAGCCGGTAGGTTCACTTACGTAATAGTGACTGTCATCATTGTTTACCCTCGCCTCGTCACTATATTGTACTTTGTTAAGGTGAATGAAGGTACTATAGAAGTTCAAGTTATACAAAGCGACATGGCAGGCATGACCATCAAGCTGCTGCGCTTGGACACCAACGGTGAATTCACTAGTCAAAAACTGTATAAGTGCCTCGAATTGCAGCGGTATGAAGCACATAAGACAAATTTGTATACGCCTTGTCACTACAACCTAACAGAAGCCTCATTTTTGTTGACTTCTCCCCAAGTTTATTGTCATATGGCTCGCTGCATGATCGACGACGAGAGCATCGAAGACGTAGTGAGCTAAGGTTGTATAATCATGTATCATTGATTGGATTCTACACTACGTGCGTCCTACGATATAATTTGCACAAGATGAAGTCACAGCTGCACAACATGACGTGTATCTGTCTCCATATAAGCTAAACGCCGCTGTAGGCTCGATGCCAAGGCATCTAGTGTTATATCTTGATAAGAGGGTAACGTTGAAGGCCGCGTACTAAATATGTCAGCGGAAAAGGGGTAATCAATCGTCCAAATCGTCTAGTTCAGGCAAGAACACATCAACTCTAAGTCATCAAGCCTTCAAATTTCGATCTGTCTTAATGTTCGTTGTAAAGACGTGTCCGTATTAACGGCTTCGATAGCGCGCCTTCCGTTTCACTACCTTCTACATTTGCTTTCGTCAATTTGGGTCCTTGAAATGCGTTGTTTACAATGAGGTGGAACGCAGAATACCAGCATCAATCGCTTTATAAACATAATTCATTGGACCTTTCAAGCCTTCATCATCACTGGACATAACTAACTACATCCCGAGTGGCTAGTGTACAGATCTTAAACTCTTTTCGTTTAACTTCAACTTGTCGATGACCCCACAGGTTTTAACAGTATGCTATTTATAGTTACATTGCATACGCTCGTGGCATCGCTCATACGGTTCTATATGACCGAGTCCCATATTCTATCAATGCACTAACTCGTAACGCTGTATATACAGATTCTCGAATCATGGAATTGCTGCCATCTTTTAGCATAGGATTTTTCTAGATTCGCTAACAAGGCTGGGAACGCTAGCAATAATCACGATCTGCTCAAAATATGTATTTCAGAAATGTTTGCTTCACTGGAATTATTCTCGTTTCGGACTTCCTTACAGCTTTGAAGCATGTTAACAGATAAATTGCTACAGATTAGTCACATGCAACTGCATACGTTTGTCTTTTTGTAAGGAAGGGCAGTATTGTTGTCACTTAGTACGACTATGCAAGCGAGTTCCGCCTATCAAAAGTCTATCAGCTGTACACAGCAAACTACGACTTATTTAGAGCCTGTCTGAAGCAAAGCTATCGACAACAATCAAGCGCTAGCAACAGCAGCAGTCAAGGCGACGATACTACCCGCCTGCCAGGTCGATTCACCCTCAGTCAGACCAATCGTTGAGCTTGTCAGAATGCAGATGCTTGTGTTGGTAATTGGAAGTGGCTGGAAGTTGAACGTTGCACAGAGTGTGGTATTCACACATGCATTGCAACACGCTTGGACAGTGTCAAGGACTACGGCCACGATGATATTGACATTCAGGAACTGAAAACCGGTATAGATTTGAAGCCCGCCTTCGCCACCGATGTTGTTGCACTGTGAAGCCAGCGTAAGGGTCGCGTCAGCTGGTGTAGCAACCGGAGCCTCGGCATTGTCAACGGCGACGGTCGTGTTTGCAGGAGCAGTGACCGGAGCCTCGGAAGTAACAACTGGGGCGGTAGTGTCGTTTTTTGCCTTCGTGTCGCACGGAACGGCGTATAGGTGACCATGATGCCCGTCCTCGTGCGTGTCCTTGGTCATGTGGCCGTCTTTACCACTCTCGGATTTACTGTGACCATGATGTTCGTCCTCCATCGTGTCCTTGGTCACTTGCCCGTCTTTAGCAACCTCGGCGTACATGTGACCTTGATGTCCGTCCTCTTTCGTGTCATTCTTCATGTGGCCGTATTTACCATCCTTCGGCGATCATGTGACCATGATGTTCGTCCTCTTTCGTGTCCTTGGTCACTTGCCCGTCTTTAGCAACCTCGGCGTTCATGTGACCTTGATGTCCGTCCTCTTTCGTGTCATTCTTCATGTGGCCGTATTTACCACCTTCGGCGTTCATGTGACCATGATGTTCGTCCTCGTTCGTGTCCTTGGTCACTTGCCCGTCTTTAGCAACCTCGGCGTTCATGTGACCATGATGTCCGTCCTCTTTCGTGTCATTCTTCATGTGGCCGTCTTTACCACCTTCGGCGTTCATGTGACCATGATGTTCGTCCTCGTTCGTGTCCTTGGTCACTTGCCCGTCTTTAGCAACCTCGGCGTTCATGTGACCATGATGTCCGTCCTCTTTCGTGTCATTCTTCATGTCCCCCCCCCCTCCTCCCCCCCCCCCCCCCCCCCCCCCCCCCCCCCCCTGCCCGTCTTTAGCAACCTCGGCGTTCATGTGACCATGATGTCCGTCCTCGTTCGTGTCCTTGGTCACTTGCCCGTCTTTAGCAACCTCGGCGTTCATGTGACCATGATGTCCGTCCTCTTTCGTGTCATTCTTCATGTGGCCGTCTTTACCACCCTCGGCGATCATGTGACCATAATATCCGCCCTCTTTCGTGTCCTTGGTCATGTGACTGTCTTTACCATCCTCGGCGCTCATGTGACCATGTTGTCCGCCCTCGTGCGTGTCCTTGATCATGTGGCCGTCTTCAGTACCCCCAGATTTCATGTGACCTTGATGTCCGTCGTCAGTCTTGTCCTTGTTCATGTGGCCATCTTCAGTACTTTTGGATTTCATACGACCATGATGTCCGTCGTCAGTCTTGTCCTTGGTCATGTGCCAGTAGTTGCCGCCCTTTGTCCCCATGGTTGTGCTGCTGTATTTGGCCTGGTCTGTACCATCCAAAGCAACGTCACAGTTCACACCTAGTGGTGCATCTAGATTCTTGTCGTAATTTACTCCTTTATCGGTGTACGCTTTGCCGTTTTCAGTATCTGCAGTAGAAATGTGACTTGTCTGAGGGAATGCACATCCCCACGTGTCGTTCATTACAAGGACACACTCCGCGTCAACTGGGGCGACGCACGCCGCTCCGCTGTAGGACAACAGGTACGGCTTGCAGTCAGCAATCGCGACGTCACCAGCCTTAGGGCAGCACGTGCCAGCAGGCTTAGCTCCGTCACCCGAGCAGGATAAACCACGAGATTCCGGCAACGAGTAGGTGGCATCGTATTGCACGGAGATGGGGACGTCAGCAGATACCAGGCTAGCGGCAAAAATACCGGCTAGCGCCAAACTTTTCGAGGCCATTAGTTTTTTCGAAGGTAATGTCAGTGTTTCCACTAAAGAGGAAACTGTAAAATGAGCTTTGGTCAAAGTGGAGTCGGCAGGGACGAGCACTGCACAGGAGGAGCGTATTCGGAGGACCTTGTGTATTGGATGAAACCTATGAAAGAAATGAAAATCGCAGTATTTGCTTTTGGACTAATTACTGAGTCGTCTTTTTGCCCAAGGCTTTCGCTGGAGGTTTCAGAACTTTTACGAAACGGTTGAGAGAATGGTGCATGCGCCTGTCATGGCGATCGAACCGACCGGAACGAAACAATTTACAAACGAAAACTACTTCTCGTAATATACGAAATTCAATTGAGTAGTTGGACTTTGAGGTTAGAATATGAGAGCACTGGCGACTGTATAAAATGGCTGCAAGTTGCGCTCTTCATCTTGTTGCTTTCGTCATTTATACCACAACCTTATCAAAATTGCCCATTTCTGGTGTTTCAGTTTGACGACTTATTACAGAAAGCGATTAAATCACCAATCGCAGTAGTTTTACTTCGCCTTGCGCTAAAAACCAGTTGGTATTTCAGTTTCCAAGCAGCAGTTTACGGCCATGAACTAAAGATGTTCTTCTTCAAATCATAAGTCATAGTCATCTCACTTTTGACCGACAATAGTTGGGATCCTTCCTCAAAGCAGAAACATTGTTCAGCCGTAACTCGCGCTATTAACGTGAGATTGGACGTTGCAAATGAAATTAGCTTGAACTCGTCAGAGACACTGACAAAGCGTAGAAAGTAGGCAGTTAGTACTAGTGCGTACTATTTCTACTTGGAAAAGTAAGATGTACATGAATGAGATGCGCCACAGATTCAAGTCGTAAAGATGAGTAACCGATGACTCGCAAAGGTCGTAGCTGTGAGCAGTCACCTCTTCGAGCTGACAACGACCTCCAGTCTTGACTTTGTTCAGTTAGTCCATATATTGCGCTTCTTGACTGGTATTACAGTGCTTCTCTGAGCTGAAATAAGTTGTTTAATGTGTGAGTCAACAAGTTTTGGCACTTACTTGCGTTACAATAGCCGCCTTAGCAAACGAGCAGCCATCGGCCGCATCGATGTGGTTCCGAAACGAACTAAGAAATCGATTTAATGTTGCAAAACCACCCCATAATCAATCAAAACCATAATCAGTTAAAATCCGTCTTAAATCGGGATGATATAAAAATCCAAATGAGCGACTGTCGCTAAAAGTGTAACAATACAGGATTGAATTTATTCACGGCGTTGGCTTGATTAAATTGAACATGAGGTCGTGGGTGTGTCGTGTGTACACTTGCATTGTTATAACATACCATCTTGATGTCGATTAAATCAATCCACGGCAATCTTCCTTTTGTTTGCAGTGTTTGTCGTCCATTCAAGTTAAATCTATGGACATTCGCCATCATTTGCAGTAGATGATGCGCTTCCTCCATCTAAGACGCTATAAAAAGGTCGTTTATATTACAATTCTACTTGGCACTCATGCACCTTCATCTTCTCTTCCACTGCAATTTGGCAGTATTCATCACAACAGGTGGAGCCTTCTGTGTTAATTTGCTTGAAACAGATCGCTCGGGTAGATAGCTTGGTTGAACGCGGCGAAACCCGTTTAACAATAGCCATCGCGAAATCCCTGCGATCCTACAAACATGTCAAAGATTAAGAATATGCACCGAAATTGGCACGAAGACTGCTAATATTCATTTGACTAAGCTACATGAGCATCGTAGCTGCTGCGGGGAAAGGACTAATTTAGAAACATTTTTAAACTTCAGCTTTCACATATGCGTCTCACCGCTATTCAGCCAATAGGCATTGCAATACCAGTCAAGAAGCGCAATATATGGACTAACTGAACAAAGTCAAGACTGGAGGTCGTTGTCAGCTCGAAGAGGTGACTGCTCACAGCTACGACCTTTGCGAGTCATCGGTTACTCATCTTTACGACTTGAATCTGTGGCGCATCTCATTCATGTACATCTTACTTTTCCAAGTAGAAATAGTACGCACTAGTACTAACTGCCTACTTTCTACGCTTTGTCAGTGTCTCTGACGAGTTCAAGCTAATTTCATTTGCAACGTCCAATCTCACGTTAATAGCGCGAGTTACGGCTGAACAATGTTTCTGCTTTGAGGAAGGATCCCAACTATTGTCGGTCAAAAGTGAGATGACTATGACTTATGATTTGAAGAAGAACATCTTTAGTTCATGGCCGTAAACTGCTGCTTGGAAACTGAAATACCAACTGGTTTTTAGCGCAAGGCGAAGTAAAACTACTGCGATTGGTGATTTAATCGCTTTCTGTAATAAGTCGTCAAACTGAAACACCAGAAATGGGCAATTTTGATAAGGTTGTGGTATAAATGACGAAAGCAACAAGATGAAGAGCGCAACTTGCAGCCATTTTATACAGTCGCCAGTGCTCTCATATTCTAACCTCAAAGTCCAACTACTCAATTGAATTTCGTATATTACGAGAAGTAGTTTTCGTTTGTAAATTGTTTCGTTCCGGTCGGTTCGATCGCCATGACAGGCGCATGCACCATTCTCTCAACCGTTTCGTAAAAGTTCTGAAACCTCCAGCGAAAGCCTTGGGCAAAAAGACGACTCAGTAATTAGTCCAAAAGCAAATACTGCGATTTTCATTTCTTTCATAGGTTTCATCCAATACACAAGGTCCTCCGAATACGCTCCTCCTGTGCAGTGCTCGTCCCTGCCGACTCCACTTTGACCAAAGCTCATTTTACAGTTTCCTCTTTAGTGGAAACACTGACATTACCTTCGAAAAAACTAATGGCCTCGAAAAGTTTGGCGCTAGCCGGTATTTTTGCCGCTAGCCTGGTATCTGCTGACGTCCCCATCTCCGTGCAATACGATGCCACCTACTCGTTGCCGGAATCTCGTGGTTTATCCTGCTCGGGTGACGGAGCTAAGCCTGCTGGCACGTGCTGCCCTAAGGCTGGTGACGTCGCGATTGCTGACTGCAAGCCGTACCTGTTGTCCTACAGCGGAGCGGCGTGCGTCGCCCCAGTTGACGCGGAGTGTGTCCTTGTAATGAACGACACGTGGGGATGTGCATTCCCTCAGACAAGTCACATTTCTACTGCAGATACTGAAAACGGCAAAGCGTACACCGATAAAGGAGTAAATTACGACAAGAATCTAGATGCACCACTAGGTGTGAACTGTGACGTTGCTTTGGATGGTACAGACCAGGCCAAATACAGCAGCACAACCATGGGGACAAAGGGCGGCAACTACTGGCACATGACCAAGGACAAGACTGACGACGGACATCATGGTCGTATGAAATCCAAAAGTACTGAAGATGGCCACATGAACAAGGACAAGACTGACGACGGACATCAAGGTCACATGAAATCTGGGGGTACTGAAGACGGCCACATGATCAAGGACACGCACGAGGGCGGACAACATGGTCACATGAGCGCCGAGGATGGTAAAGACAGTCACATGACCAAGGACACGAAAGAGGGCGGATATTATGGTCACATGATCGCCGAGGGTGGTAAAGACGGCCACATGAAGAATGACACGAAAGAGGACGGACATCATGGTCACATGAACGCCGAGGTTGCTAAAGACGGGCAAGTGACCAAGGACACGAACGAGGACGGACATCATGGTCACATGAACGCCGAGGTTGCTAAAGACGGGCAAGTGACCAAGGACACGAACGAGGACGGACATCATGGTCACATGAACGCCGAGGTTGCTAAAGACGGGCAAGTGACCAAGGACACGTACGAGGACGGACATCATGGTCACATGAACCGCCGAGGATGGTAAAGACAGTCACATGAAGAATGACACGAACGAGGACGGACATCATGGTCACATGAACGCCGAGGTTGCTAAAGACGGGCAAGTGACCAAGGACACGAAGAGGACGGACATCATGGTCACATGAACGCCGAGGTTGCTAAAGACGGCCAATGACCAAGACACGAACGAGGACGAACATCATGGTCACATGAACGCCGAAGGTGGTAAAGACGGCCACATGAAGAATGACACGAACGAGGACGGACATCATGGTCACATGAACGCCGAGGTTGCTAAAGACGGGCAAGTGACCAAGGACACGAACGAGGACGAACATCATGGTCACATGATCGCCGAGGATGGTAAATACGGCCACATGAAGAATGACACGAAAGAGGACGGACATCATGGTCACATGAACGCCGAGGTTGCTAAAGACGGGCAAGTGACCAAGGACACGAACGAGGACGAACATCATGGTCACATGAACGCCGAAGGTGGTAAAGACGGCCACATGAAGAATGACACGAAAGAGGACGGACATCATGGTCACATGAACGCCGAGGTTGCTAAAGACGGGCAAGTGACCAAGGACACGAACGAGGACGAACATCATGGTCACATGATCGCCGAAGGATGGTAAATACGGCCACATGAAGAATGACACGAAAGAGGACGGACATCATGGTCACATGAACGCCGAGGTTGCTAAAGACGGGCAAGTGACCAAGGACACGAACGAGGACGAACATCATGGTCACATGAACGCCGAAGGTGGTAAATACGGCCACATGAAGAATGACACGAAAGAGGACGGACATCATGGTCACATGAACGCCGAGGTTGCTAAAGACGGGCAAGTGACCAAGGACACGAACGAGGACGAACATCATGGTCACATGATCGCCGAAGGTGGTAAATACGGCCACATGAAGAATGACACGAAAGAGGACGGACATCATGGTCACATGAACGCCGAGGTTGCTAAAGACGGGCAAGTGACCAAGGACACGAAAGAGGACGAACATAATGGTCACATGATCGCCGAGGATGGTAAATACGGCCACATGAAGAATGACACGAAAGAGGACGGACATCAAGGTCACATGTACGCCGAGGTTGCTAAAGACGGGCAAGTGACCAAGGACACGATGGAGGACGAACATCATGGTCACAGTAAATCCGAGAGTGGTAAAGACGGCCACATGACCAAGGACACGCACGAGGACGGGCATCATGGTCACCTATACGCCGTTCCGTGCGACACGAAGGCAAAAAACGACACTACCGCCCCAGTTGTTACTTCCGAGGCTCCGGTCACTGCTCCTGCAAACACGACCGTCGCCGTTGACAATGCCGAGGCTCCGGTTGCTACACCAGCTGACGCGACCCTTACGCTGGCTTCACAGTGCAACAACATCGGTGGCGAAGGCGGGCTTCAAATCTATACCGGTTTTCAGTTCCTGAATGTCAATATCATCGTGGCCGTAGTCCTTGACACTGTCCAAGCGTGTTGCAATGCATGTGTGAATACCACACTCTGTGCAACGTTCAACTTCCAGCCACTTCCAATTACCAACACAAGCATCTGCATTCTGACAAGCTCAACGATTGGTCTGACTGAGGGTGAATCGACCTGGCAGGCGGGTAGTATCGTCGCCTTGACTGCTGCTGTTGCTAGCGCTTGATTGTTGTCGATAGCTTTGCTTCAGACAGGCTCTAAATAAGTCGTAGTTTGCTGTGTACAGCTGATAGACTTTTGATAGGCGGAACTCGCTTGCATAGTCGTACTAAGTGACAACAATACTGCCCTTCCTTACAAAAAGACAAACGTATGCAGTTGCATGTGACTAATCTGTAGCAATTTATCTGTTAACATGCTTCAAAGCTGTAAGGAAGTCCGAAACGAGAATAATTCCAGTGAAGCAAACATTTCTGAAATACATATTTTGAGCAGATCGTGATTATTGCTAGCGTTCCCAGCCTTGTTAGCGAATCTAGAAAAATCCTATGCTAAAAGATGGCAGCAATTCCATGATTCGAGAATCTGTATATACAGCGTTACGAGTTAGTGCATTGATAGAATATGGGACTCGGTCATATAGAACCGTATGAGCGATGCCACGAGCGTATGCAATGTAACTATAAATAGCATACTGTTAAAACCTGTGGGGTCATCGACAAGTTGAAGTTAAACGAAAAGAGTTTAAGATCTGTACACTAGCCACTCGGGATGTAGTTAGTTATGTCCAGTGATGATGAAGGCTTGAAAGGTCCAATGAATTATGTTTATAAAGCGATTGATGCTGGTATTCTGCGTTCCACCTCATTGTAAACAACGCATTTCAAGGACCCAAATTGACGAAAGCAAATGTAGAAGGTAGTGAAACGGAAGGCGCGCTATCGAAGCCGTTAATACGGACACGTCTTTACAACGAACATTAAGACAGATCGAAATTTGAAGGCTTGATGACTTAGAGTTGATGTGTTCTTGCCTGAACTAGACGATTTGGACGATTGATTACCCCTTTTCCGCTGACATATTTAGTACGCGGCCTTCAACGTTACCCTCTTATCAAGATATAACACTAGATGCCTTGGCATCGAGCCTACAGCGGCGTTTAGCTTATATGGAGACAGATACACGTCATGTTGTGCAGCTGTGACTTCATCTTGTGCAAATTATATCGTAGGACGCACGTAGTGTAGAATCCAATCAATGATACATGATTATACAACCTTAGCTCACTACGTCTTCGATGCTCTCGTCGTCGATCATGCAGCGAGCCATATGACAATAAACTTGGGGAGAAGTCAACAAAAATGAGGCTTCTGTTAGGTTGTAGTGACAAGGCGTATACAAATTTGTCTTATGTGCTTCATACCGCTGCAATTCGAGGCACTTATACAGTTTTTGACTAGTGAATTCACCGTTGGTGTCCAAGCGCAGCAGCTTGATGGTCATGCCTGCCATGTCGCTTTGTATAACTTGAACTTCTATAGTACCTTCATTCACCTTAACAAAGTACAATATAGTGACGAGGCGAGGGTAAACAATGATGACAGTCACTATTACGTAAGTGAACCTACCGGCTGTTGTGGTCTGCGGTGAGCTCGCAAAACATCGGCATTCTTGGCATGAATGAATCGATGCCGCCGTCTTTTGACGAGTAATTCAAAACATCAGCACACTTTTAACAGATATTTCAGGTATCGTAGGAGTCGTTGGCCCTGGGTGGGTGTGGTCTTGTGTTCATATCATATTGTCATCTTTTGTATACAGCAGACTGCGTTGACGTTCATCTCCAGTAAAACTCCTGTGACGTGAGAAGCTGCTTTTGCCATGAGTAATCGTAGTTTAGTGCTTGTATGGGATGTGGCACAAGCATGAGCATTCCACTACTCATAGCTCCATACGTGTTGTCGCCACATATCATGCAGTATCTTAATGCTGTAAAAGTTTAAACATCACCTGGTCTTTACCACCTTGGCGACGACGCAGCTAATCACATTTATTGTTGGCAAACTGCGCAACAACGTCTTATCTTGGCCAAATTCGATCCCGAGATGGAGCTACTTCACTTTAGAGAGGCTGCACAGAACCTACGAAAGCTTGATCGACTTTTTCAGTCATCTCATTCATAGAAACAGTAATAGCTTTGCCATTCCAAAAATATTGCCTTGCAAGTCAGTAGTTGGTAAAGCTGCTGAGGTTGGAGTTGTTTCCTATCAAGCTACACTTGAAAAGTGATCGAGATTAATCCATTGCACTCTTGTTATTCCAAAAGTTTCAGTTCCACTTAAGTATCAAATAGACGGACAATTGCTCGATACTATCATAAAGGCATTCCAATATTTATCGTCACATCAAGCGTGTCATTTCTCAGCCACATCACGGGCAACCCTTCGTCAAGAATCCTGCCTTTTTGTAGCCGCCTGCCATTTCTCAGCCGCAACACGGGCAACCCTTCGTCGGAAATCCTGCCTTTTGGTAGCCGAAATGGGCATGATGCTGCCTGGGGAAGGTGCGTTCGCTGCCACTGGGAGAATATACAGCTGGCGGCGTTCCCCGCGCCACGCGTCACTGCTTGGCAAACGCAAAGTCAGCTCAAGTGATCACTCAAGCGGCCAACTAAGGAGTCTTCCCCACCGCACGTGTAAGCGCTACGGCGTCTGCACACTTCAAGTAAACCGGCCATCCGAGCGACCGTACAAAAATGACATAAACAATTGAGTAAACCCATTGATGTCACTCCAATCGTAATTACCTCTCAGTTTTGTTTTTGTATCAATACGTTATTCAAGACAAAAAACATACCTGACAAGGACAATGCATGGCAATAGCACAGGACGAGATAAGCTCGGACAAGAGATTTTGTGGAGCTCCAGAGGACAACAAGCAATAATGCAATGGGAGAAACAATACATGGAACTGTGCGTCGATGCTTTAGATATTCAATTGACGGACCGTGTACTGGAAATTGGCTCTGGATTGGCCTATTCGTCTTCTCGCATCCAGACATTCAAGCCACAAAGTCACGTTATCGTTGAATGCGATTTAGAAACGTTGCAACGGGCTCGAATGTTTGCAGCAAGACATAATCGAGTGGAAATTATGCCTGGAACATGGCAAAAGGTGCTGCCTGAATTGGACCAATATGACTGTGTTTTCTTTGACGACTATCCGTTACCAGAACTCGAAGCCAAATAATTATCTGTAAGTGAACAAGGAATTGGAAAACAACGGTCTGTTTGAAGATATTTTACTAAAGGATGATTGGAGACCATGGTGCACTCATAACATCGTTTTGATTGAATCTAGGTCACGGTGGCACGAGTTTTTGGATATCGTCTTGAAGCACTGTGCGGCTGGGGCAAGGATCACAGGGTACCTTGCACGAGAGCTGGATTTGACACGCTCTGGATGCCAAGTTATGCTTTCAAGAGTACAAGTTGATGTGCCAGAGCATTGCAACTACTTCCCAAATGAAACGGCTCTGGTGCCGGTGATCACGGTTACGGATCCAGTTATTGCTGCTGGCGCAAGCGACATTAGTTTGACATCACCAGTGAAACTTCTGTTGCCCCAAGTTTCCAAGAGGTTTCAGCGTGCATTTAACAGCACGACAAGCAGGTTAGTGCAAGCATTACATGCGGACACAAAATTTTCTCGAGAACGACAGCACATTGCTGAGATACGTGAGTTTCTACTAGCCCATGATACGGCAACTTTCTTAAGCGAGCAGTCTGCTGAGTGTGACGATACTGAAATTTGTAGCCGCATGGATGATAAAGTATTGGATTCCAGAGAGGAAACTTCAGTCGGACGCCAGCAAGTAGACGAAGGGCCAATACACTACGACGACAAAGAGTCAAGACAAAACTATTTGCGCACGCTAAGAAGCAAGGCCGCGCTTTCCAAAAGGTAACTGAGTGAATTACCTATCAACAGGACCCTACACATTTTCCTGCAGTGAACATTCATTTAGAAAGCAGTGCGATAACTACATTATGCTGATACATTGCGACTTAGTGTGCGATAGATCTAGAAGTCAGACCGGGCAAGACAGTTCAGCGTTGAGCTGGTCACATACTATGCAAGTTGAATCTAGATTTTGTCCGGGTATCTTCGCTGAGTTGTCATGAATGAAAGCTTGCTGCTTTCTGCAGACGAATGAAATCAAATCTAGGTGCGACCGGAAAAATATCAACCTTTCAAATGATCGTGCGAGTTACGTAGTAGCTTGCGATGCGAAGGGAGATAAAATGTGGTGTAAGCCAGGGTAAAACAACTCCAGTTTATGGTGCAGTAGATCCAACCATTGTCACAAAGCGAGCCAACGCGCACAAAAGTAGTCGGAAGAATTTGCATTGCGCTCACGTTTCGACCACTCTTGTGCGTGTTGGCACGTTTAAAAGACGGCAAAGTGGCGGGTCAGCCTGGCTTGAATGATCTTTTGAGCCTGACTAATGTGTGAACTCGTTGAGCATCAAGCTTTAGTACCATCGTTCGTAGCTGAAACGTGTCCGGTACATTGCGCGTCATAACACCGATGTAATAGAGACTTGAGCACTGCTCCAATCTTGTGATAGGGCAAATATAATATATATACATATGCGGATGTAGACGTATGTGTTGCTGGACCTGATGTTTGCCTTTCTAGCGAGGTTACAATCAGTCGTGCAGAACACATGGATCAACAAAACTTTCTTAGATTCGATTACGAGATATCTATTATATCCTTCACCACTTTCCATGCTTTCTCAGGGCACCTTCCTACCCACCAAGGTCGATCGCCCACCTCATTTGCTCTTGAGAAAGAGGGGACGGTGGTTAGTCTTGGTTGGTAGGTGCCCAGTGAAGACATGAGAAAGTGGTTGAGGCCATATAGGGTGCTATGTAATTGGCATGAAACGTCTCTTATGCGTCCTTTTCGACCAAGATTATTGCGTTCGTATCATTGTTATCAACGCAGAAGCTTAGGAACCGAACTGCACATGACGTTATTACTGCGGCCAATAGAATTTTGTTTACTATGCCATCTTGATGACGCGCTCCAATAACCCTGAGTTAACATCGACACGGGCGTACAATAGCTAAGGTAGCGTTTCTAATGCGTTAGCCCATTTTTAGGTCCATCGTAAAGGTGACAGAGAAGACATTCAAAATATCAATATACTGTTTGGTGTATGGTTCCTGGCACGTATATTGCCGAGATAAAAACTGTGGCGCTGAAGGGCGCGACGTTGTGTTGTACAATGCTTAAGTAGCTCCGTGGGAATATGGTAGATAGGTGGGGATCGCGATGCATGCGTGTAAAATGGCGCGAATGTCAGCGTCCGCCATGCGGTAGTCACGTCCGGCGACAGGACGCCTTCGAGTTGCCGGACTGCCTCAATACTCCAATGCCCTCCCTGACCGTCATCTGTATGTCTCGGAAGACACAACTTACACGCTTGATTCAAAGGCTCGTTGTGGAGACGTTCCAAGGATCTATCAACATCGAGTCCAATTGGCAGAACCACCATCCGGATGGTCTGAATACCATCGGGCTACCATCCGTCGGATATATAGCACGAGAAGAACGGTTAGTTTAAGCCGCAAATGCGCGTTTCTAACGCTGCAAGCACCCAGGCTGCACCCTAGCTTCTTCCTTCCAGTGTCTGACGAGTTGTTCCCAAGTCGTTTGAGCAAACGGATAGGTGCTCGAACATTCACCTTCGCCGGCTCATTGGGTCCCGGTGGGGCATGGATTTCAGGGGTACTGATCCGTGTGAACGAGTTCAGATGGTGCGTAGCTGACATGTATGCCAAACTTGACAATCCGTGAGGCCGTGCAGATGAGTCAGAGGGTCTGGGGTCCTGGTGCTAGCAGCTATTCGCTGTCGCCTTGATTGCAAGACCGTGAGTAATAGAAGCCAAAGGTATGCTGAGAAGTTATACCCTTGCAAGGGGCGTAAGCCAGTTGGTTGAGGTAGACCAACACGCAGACGTTCGAAATCGTCGAGTAGATGCTAGGATGTGCTTCAAAACGAATCCAGTGTCCCTCAGATTGCGACTGTAAACGGCACAGAATTTGTCAGTCTCTCTACCTCTAACTATAGTATGTGACTACCCAGTTTCCAGTAAATCCTAGCGCTGGCTTGCGTCAGGTGGTAGGGAGCTGTCGTAAGCGACCCAAGTCTGACCAAGTATTCATTAATTACGTCTGGTGGTCAATCGTCAACAAATCTCATTCTGGCGCATGTATGATCAAATCATGATTGTATCCAATCAGCGTTCGCATTTTGGTAGAAAATCACCGCTTCGTGACTGCCACGTCATTCTCAATTATTACCCCACCTAAGTAGATTCACGATGAAAAACCTACTACTAATGGTAACGCTGGCTATATTATTGCAGCCTACAACCAGTAGAAATAATAAAATCCCCACGATTCAAGTGGTTAACTCGCAACAGGTTCTTGAAGTAGATCCAAGTGTACAACATATTCCATTGGACATTTCGCAAAAGGAATTAAGACCACCTCCAGCAAAGATTCCGAGTACTTTTCAGATTCACATTGGCTCATCAGTATTTCGAGACGGATATCGCTGTGGCAAGACTCTTTTTACAGCATTAAAGCGTGCCGTGTATCCTGAAAGACTGCGTATTGGAATACTTGAGCAATTAGCAGACGGAGACCCCAAGTGTATAGATGAGTATTGCAAGATGGCAGTGGCAGAGTGGTCCGATTATCCTGAGTGTCGCTACAAGGACTATATTCAGGTAAATATACGACCAGCAGCTGAAGCTTCTGGGTGCACGACTGCACGTCACCAACAGCAACAAATGGTGGGAGATGAAGAGTTTTGTCTTCAAGTAGATGGTCATAGCATTTTTACAAATGGATGGGATGAAGTCATGTTGAACGAGTGGAAAAGAATTGACAATGAGATGGCTATCTTGACAGTTTATCCTCACAACCTGCATGATTTTATCAAGGAAAATGGAGATAACAATGCACCAGACTGGATCCCACACTTGTGCAGTACGATCAAAGGCAGCAACGGTCTTGTTCGAATTGCTGGGGCAAGCATTAAGAAAAATTCGGAGTTTCCCCAGCTGGAAGCTCTGTGGGGAGGTGGTTTGTCCTTTAGCAAGTGTCACGCAGAACGCAATGTGCTTGTGGACTCGCATACGCCGTGGCTTTGGGATGGTGAGGAGTTTTTGCGCTCGATAGATTACTGGACGCATGGTTATGACTTGTACTCCCCTAGTAAAATAGGCACGGTCTTGTATCACAACTACTCGAAGAAACCGGAGAATTTTTGGAAATTTTCTGTTGATCCGTCAGTGCAGAAGCAGCTGATGGAGATGACGCACAACCGCGTCCGTCTCCGTATTGGAATGGGATTTAAGGGTCTAGTGGACGCTTACGAGCTGGACAAATATAAATTTGGTTCAGCTCGCTCGTTTGAGCAGTACATGAAGTTTGCAAACCAAAGTCTTGAGGGCTGGATGAATGAGACCAATTCCTGCGGACAGCTGCATTGGGTCCCGTACTTGAATGCCACTGAGGTGGAGAAAATTGTTGGCGACGGCTGGAAAATGAAAGCTGATCTCACTTTTACGCCAGTTCAATTGGCCAACGGCTTATTTCAACAACCGTTGCACGAAGTCGTACGAGAGATGGAGGAAGAGCAGGTAGACGAGTCAATGCAACCTGTAGTAGACGCACACGTGAAGAACGGCGCTAAGTTAGGCGAACATAAGCCGTCCGTGCGGCAAGCTCTACAGGTAGCCCATTCTTTCAAGAACAAAGCGTCTAGTATTCCGGCATGGGGATTGTTGATAGTGGTGTTTGCAGCGCTCTTCGTGACGCTCTCCAATGACAACACCTCCCAGGCAATTCGACGTAGATGCATTTCAAGATCACCTCATCGGAGTTATGAGTAAGAAGAGCGCAAAGCTCTTGTGGGGGGAGGATCGTAAGTATATACGTAATACATGTCCGTTGCATTACCTTGTATTTGGCCGTCTGACGAAGACGACCAAGCGAGGCTGCCAAAGACATTAATGCATTATGTATTGTTCGGTGCTTAGTCGGCGAGCTTTTAAAGTTTTGCGCAGACAAAAGTACCATGTTTTTTATATGGAATTTCACATATACATACACATGGATACTTTTCATCAACAAATGACTTACACATCGAAGAACAATATAAACCATCACATTTATGGTTGAACATACACACCTGCCACACCATTGTTGTTTGGCTGTGAGTTGGTATGACCGACCTAACGTACAAAGGGTCGTAACGTGAGTAAAGCCTATTGCGCTATAATGGGTACACTCTCAATAAACGACATTGGTAAAATAAGGATTTTTTGGAATGTGGGCTACACGCTTGATCAGCTGGCGACTATCAAAGAACTTCTGGAGCAGCATAGGCTGGCTTAGGTGAACGGGGGTTTGTATCGAAGCAAACGAGGGCAGATTTGAAGCTGGAGCGGGTGAGGTGAAGTATCTGGTGAAGGAAGAATTTTTTAAGTTAACCAAGTATTCGCGATTGTAAGTCCCTTGTTGAACATTTGTTTATTGCGGGTATCGCGCTGGAAACGGCCGATAAAAGTTCTGCTGAACACAAAGCGGCACGACAAACCAGCGGTTGACTCTTCAAGACTTGAAGTTAGCGAACACGGTTGCTCGTCATCTGAAGGGTGTAAAGGAATTGAAGCTGCACATGAAAGCGATAGCGTCAGATGCAGATAAGCTGTCGCTTGGGAGATGGATTGACGCAGATTTCGCGAACGACAAGCAAGATGGAAAGTCAGTTTTGGTTGGAGTATTTACAATGCAAGGAGCGGTTATACCATGGATCTGCAAAAAGCAACTGGTGTGTTCGCTTCTACCATGGAAGCGAAATTTACTTCAGCATCTTAGGTTGGACGTGAGCTTTAGGGGATACCTTAGCTTGTGCAAGCTATTGGATTTATGGTATACTAGTCGATGACCATGAAGATGGACAACCAGGCAGCCATAAAGCAGCTGGAATCCAAAGACAGTGTGACGAACGCGAGAATCCGTGACATGCGAGTGAACTTTATTTGCGACTTTGCGGAACGTGGAATTGTCAAACCATTTCACGTCGAATCAAGAATGATGATTGCGGACCTACTGATGAAAGCACTACCGACACGGGGGCTGGTTGTACTGCGAGAGTTTTTTGGGCCTCGCCTAATAAGGTGCTCACAGGCGCGAGGTGGTCGAGGAGAAGTGTACGAATTTATAAATTGAAGTGCAGGTTGAAGCGGCGCAGTGGATAGTTTAAGGTGCGGTAACCAGGGCAAGACAGCGATTTCAACCATTCGTTTGTAAGATGTGTGTGCGGTATACCGGTAACTTTGATGGATGAAACGTGTGGGATCATCGATAGATGGATGGTGTTAAATGCACTGGAGGAGAATGATACGTTCGTACGATGTTGATTCATGAACATACTTGTAAATTTTACAAGTACTTCTTATCCAACAAATAATGGCGAGTGACAGAAGCTCTTTACGCACCAAACGCTATGTAACATTAAATTGCTGTGAAGTTACATATCTTATAAAAGATGCCTTAGAAAACAATTCTAATAGCATTGCTTAATCTTTATATGCCAGTCAAGCCTTCAATGTAGCGCTCGGAATCACGTATCTCGGAATGTCTTGTAGAGATGCGTGGTAACAATGACGCTATGCAGAATTATATTTTACTGGCACTTGATCAAAGTAATTTTGTCACATCAACGGTAAGGTCACAAACAATAAATCAGGGCGTTTTCTCTTCCTGACGACACCCGTCATTACGTTTGAAGAAAAATTGGACAAATTATCTCAGTGTTGCTACGTATTTGTGATCGGTAGATGCCTTCTACAGCACATTGATAGCTGAGATATTATTCACTTTCTAGTTTGCTGTTTCAAAAGCACTCGGCTTGAAAGTGTTTTAACATCATGCGGATGCAGATACCTGGGTATCACACCAACACCCCGTTGCACCCATCGTTCGACGATGACATCCGTAACGTTCATCTACTGTACGATTACGATGCTGAGGGCAGCGATGGTAAGCCTGAGAAGTGGCGATATGAAATGTGGTTTTTTTCGGAAAACCGAATCGTATATTCAATTCACGGTGGTCCTATGGTTGGTCGTCTTAATTACCAGACCGTCGCGTTTCAGTGCATTCGTCCAGGTGAGCTCTGGCAGTGCAACTGGCTTGAAGAGACTGGCACTATCGTGTCGCTCGTGTACGACATTCAAAACAAGAGAATTACCACCATGATTGGTTTTTCTAAAGGCCACTGGGAGCACCCCAAGGAAGCCCACGGTGATAAGCGCAATCCAAGTGACTATGCTCGCTGGCGCAAGCTAGCTGAGTACGGCAACAACCGTGACCGTCTTATCATGAGCGAGCAGGCCACTATCCTCAAGAGTTTTAAGGGTGCGGGCGACCTTGAACCGATTGCTCTAGACTGTGAGACTTTATAATGTGGCATCATTGGTGTGACATTTTCTATTACCCGCCCGCTATCGACTCTTCCAGTTTTTTATATCTGTAAGTTGTCTTGCAGTTAACAATAAACTAACTCACGATTGGACCGTTCTCCAGCTTGTACTGTGACCGATCTATAAGGTATACTTTTGCATTGGTGCTCTGTACTATTGTTGTTGTCACCAATAGCTGCTTTGACTGTTTCCACATCTCCATTGGCGTCTCTATAACTTGACGTCGGCTGCTTCTTCGTTCGCATACGTTGCTGGGCTACTCGCTTCATCTTTGCGCACTGCGCCTTATCCTGGTCTTACAGAATGCTTTGTCTTTTGCTAGCCAATTTGTGTCTTTTGCCTTCGCTCTCCATTTTTTACTTGGTTACACGCCCAGCTGCAGCTTCTGCAGCAATGCATGCTTTGTGTCAAGTGTAAAGACCTAAACATACAAAGCATATCGCTTTGCGCTTCAAACATGCTTTCAATCTTACGCCAACAATTACTGCTATTCCTTATCCTTGATGACTGTTTAAACCCAGCCTATTTCGACCAACAGTAACAGCATTAACTGCAAAACCCCGAAAGCGATCCGTATCAGAAAGCATAATGCACGTGGATTCATGTCTTGCCAAGCGTTGGTGCTTTGATCAGAAGCTCGGCACCCTTTGAGGCGCAGACCATCTCAACGACAAGCTCACAATACTTCGCGATCACCAAGTGCAACGCTGTCTCGCCACGCTCATTGATGACATTATTGCTATTCTATTTGCCGTCTCACAAGAAACGTACAACGTCAACTACTCCAAGCTCCGCGGCCAGGAAAAGCATAGCACCAGATCAATACTTCCGTTCTTGGACAGCGACCAAAGAGAAGTGGTTCAGAACCAGTTGTATGGCCGTGGTTCCCCGCGGTGAGCAATGATCGCTAGAGTGTCTTACCTTTCTTATCCGAAATATCACTTGGCGCACCGCGAAAAACTAGCAAGTTCGTCATTTGTACACTCTGCTTAGGAGGTGTTTGTAGACACGCATGGAGCGGGAACTACCAGCCAAGTCCTGCGCATCCATAATGCTCCATTTTATAAAGAAACTTTGCTACCTCAAACTGCTAATTTCTTGTGGCTTGAAGTAGCACTATCTTGCCCTCCTCGTACGCGCTTTTGTATTCGCACATGCGTGTAGCAGATTCAGAACGTTAAGTTTGCGGCTCACGCGTTCAGCATCCTCCTAGCAACACAATTTCAATTCAGTAGACGTTAGCCTAAACACGCTATTTTCTTTCGTCAGCAATAGCGTACACCACTTCCATACGTAACCATGTTGAGTTGCACAACGCGCTTACTTGGAAGACCGCGCGCAAAGCTTGGACGTTGTGTTGCCATTATCGCTTATGCTCCTTTGCTGCCTCTCTCACCTACTTACAGGCTCTCTCTTTCAGTAAGAACTCCAAAACGTCGTATTATAACCAACGCTGGCGCTTGCATGGAGTACAAATGTCCCCACCGGTGGAAGGTGGACTTTTTTCCAATCACAAAAGGATGAAGCTTCGTTGTCCTCATTGGCACGGTTTGGATAAGACTTTGACATTATTCCAACCTTTACCAAGAACACGATTGATAGCGACAGCAATTCCCGCAGACAGGTAGTGAGCTCACCAGGTAAACAACTGAAAGAGGCAAAACAAGCAAGAGTAGTACTGCTTCATCCACCACATAAAGTTGGCTACGCCATTAAGTGCAAGTTAGTTGAGATGCACCGTGTGCAGGCATCGCACGATGCTCGTATCAACTCTGCAACTGATACCGATCCACAAATTCTTCCGGGGCCATAGGTAGCAATATTTTTTTCCATCGGTTTTATCTCTGCTAGCGGAAACAAAGTGTCGTTCTGTGCACGTTCAGTTATACCAACAGGTCATTATGTACCTTGGAACAAGATCTAGCCAACCATTCAAGTTTCCGGTAGCACTGCGCGTACATCATTCCTGATTGTATTACCAAAGAGACGTCGTCGCGAGCAGGCCTCATTCTTTCGTGAAAAAAAATAGGCCACATAAGCCGCAGGCGGGCTGATCAGACGACAACGGTAAAAAACGCGTCAATCCTTGGGGTTAAACGCTCAAATGCTGAGAATAGGCGAGAATTGAATTGATCAGAACCTCGTGCATCGCATGAATCTACGTTCACGTCTGACTCAACTCTCGCGCACCTCTTTCTGACGCCTCAATAATGATTGACATTGTCTTTGTATTGAAGTGACCACGCACTCAGCGCTACTCATCGATTTATCCATGACAAACGGCTCAGAGTTTTCTTCGAACATGGCCAAATAACTTACTGTAACGTGGTATTATGGTCTGTGCTGGACGGATAACCGCAGCAAGACGTTGACGGTAGAGTGTCTATGTCGAAGCTACACTGATGGATCAGAGCTCGACCACCACACATTGCCTCTGTGCGAGCAAACAACGACAGAAAAGATGAAGCTGGCACAAGTTGAAGCAAACGATTTCAAGGTCTGGGTCTTCTTTTTGTCGTAGCCTACAGCTCATCTCTTAGTATCGTAGAGTCGGTATGGTTTAAAAATCACCACTACTGTTTCAGTTGAGGACTCGTTTGACCTGCTGCTGAAGGTGAACATCGGGTGCGTGAGCATAGCAGGGAATTGCGTGAAGCAACATATAGGTCGTAGAAACGTCCGGCACATTTAGGGAGCTGGTGTCAAGCATTGCAGATATTTATACTTTTTGTCACCTGACAAGCAAGACGAGACGCTGTACCTTCAGCGTACAGTGTCATTCGAGTATTGGTTTGATTGTACTATACGATGGATTTAGATGAAAAAAAACTGGAGCTACTTACACACTGCATTGAACGATTGTAGCAGATGGTTCTCGTTGAGCTCCCAATCTTCGTTGTTCCGGCAGAGCGCTTCAACTTTTTGAAAATAGTGCTGTATTATGAGTGCAACCTGTTCTAGCATGTTTGCGATATGCAATTGGAAGAAGAGTGCCAGAAAAAATGGTGTACACTGGCCTACCTACGACTCACTAGCAGTGCACGTCACAGCATCGTAAGATTAGGAAGTGGCTGGTCACTTGCGATAAATTCAACTGGGGTTGACGCAATGAACAATAAACTTGAGTGAGAGTGAATATCATGAATACAATCGTGAATCCTAGGCTGAATCCTTTTTCAGTAATGCAGCATTTGTATAAGCTGAATGAAGGAATGATCTGAGAAGAAACAGAGTAAGATCAATATATTGGATGCATACGTTGTCACGACCAATCGAGTACTTTGTCCAAGCAGCTGATTGTAGACTGATGGCTTGACTTTGATTAAATCACTCTTTACTTTTTTTGCCAATCATTGTCGAGAATTGATTGGTATCACATCGGATTGATTTTTCCTCAAAGCCAATCAAGCAAAATATGAATGCTAAGTTTTCCATGGCCAACACGTGCGGGCTATTCGATTCAGCAGCTCATGCGGAAGCTTCAAATCGGATGCAGGGTGCGATGGAAGAGTTGAAAGTAAAAAATGAGGTACAAGAGAAAAACCGCATAGAGCAACGAAAGCAACAAGAGAAAGAGACAAAGCAACGGGTTCATCGAGTGGAAGAGGCACTGGCGACCAAAGCTACGCAACAGAAAGAAGATCGTGCTTACATGAGAAAACACAATGCAGAAGAGGATTTAGAATTCGATGATGACGCCTTGATGGACGAAGATCCTGAGCTCGAACGGTCTTTATTTCTTCCTCTTGATCCATTTACGAGCAATACAAAGTTACAATTCCCTAATTCAAACGAAATTGCCTCTTCTGTGATATAATTCTGTAGGATACGTGCCGCAAGACTCAAGCAGTTGAAGCAAGAGTATGATGAAAAGCAAACGCTGATAGCTAAAGGCCATGGAGAATACCGCGAGATCTCGCAAGACGAGTTCTTAAAGGAGGTGACAAGCAGTGGGTTGGTAGCAGTGCATTTTTACCATCGGGACTTTGAACGCTGCAAGATCATGGATATGCATTTGACAAAGTTGGCTCCAAGTCATATTGAGTGCAAATTCCTTAAACTAAATGCCGAAAAAGCTCCTTTCTTTGTCAAAAAGCTGGCAATTCGAGTCTTGCCGACAATTGTGTGCTTCAAAGATGGCGTGGCATGCCCTGGTCGCGTCATTGGGTTTGATGGACTCACAGAAGATGATGAAGAAGCAAGAGTGACGACTTTTGATACTTGCTTGAGCCACCACTCCACGTCGAGAGACAATTATCCTACCATTGCCGTGAGCATTTCTTAGTCATGCTGGTTGCTATTGTGCATTACGTGTATTGATCACCTTATTTATCCTTAATTGTACGGTTGTAGCTCGCCCGTAAGCTGGTGGACATTGGCGCCATTCGTGACGAAGGCGATACAATAAACAACTGTAGCGAATATCTGTGATAAAAATACAGTCGAGAACGTTTCATGACCATGTTTGATGTAATCTAATCACTTGTTGCCTCAGTCATTTGAGCTGAAATGATTATGTGGCGCGTCTTGTCTGCAGCCTGAAACCGTCTCACGCACTTCAAAATCGAAAGCTTAAGCTGAAGATTCAACGCACGTTCCTCGCTCCTTATTCGTCAGTCAGTCATATATTCTCAATCCATATATTTTATCACAGAAAACATCAGTAAAGCGTCGCCCTAAAAAATGCGGCGTAGTAGACAACAGACTCAGAAGGTCACACTCCTTTCCTCTACTCGACGTCAAATTCAACACTAGCAGCACTAGGTAAAATTCATCCGTTTTGTGAAATTCTGGCATAAAATCACTTTTTTAACCGTTTTTAATCTGTTTTTGTTTTCAATTTGTTTCCAAGGTACCATCGATCTCCACCAAAGTTTATGAGCGTCACTGGCGTCAAACGTCACGAAACTATTAAATCTAGAGTCATGGACGATCATTACAATAACCCAGAAACTGCTCCTATGGCTATAGCTGTAGCTTATCCTCCAACTCCTTCCTCTGCTCGTCAAAGTCCTTTTGAGAAATTAAATACTCTTAAACTCCTTTTAGATTGTGGTCACTTAACGGCTGATGAATACCATGAACGAAAAACTCAAATTATTAATGAAATGACAGGAACATCTACAGAGAGAAAAAAAATTCACCACATTCAAGAAAAGCTGCAAGTAAGAAGGGCAATATGGGACCTCCACCACTTCAACCTTTACTCAAGACAGTCGTACCACATGGTCCACCTGATTTTTCCAGGATTCGTAGAGAACGAGCAGATAAATTGAGCTTTAATGTGGATACATTGGAATGGCACTCCACTCCTGTGAGAATTAAATTAGACCTTGTGCCATTTGCAACGGGTCAGCTTCGAAATGCATATTATTTACAGGTATGACAGTTTGTACTGAAAAGGTGATGTAGATGCTTTTTTCTTTGCTTTTCAAAATGATTGATATGTTTTATTTGACATCGGTCCATAGGAACTTGGTACAGATGATAATCCATCGAGTTTGTTAGTAGCAAAAGTAAGTCTTCGATCTGCAGAACCAAGCACATACTTGAGTGATGTGGAGATGCAGGCTGTTTGTGCCCATTATGCGGCCTTATATAATGAACATGAACCACCGCTGAAAGTGTGTTATGCAAGGTCATGGCTACTGAAATTAAAAGATCGAGATCAAGGGTCTTTAGTTTGCTCTATGGAAGAATTTTTACCGGGAGCGTATGTGAAATACAGCAATAATAGTGGCTATGTCGGTCGGGAAACCAGCACGACGGAAGAACGAGAGCGCAATACACCACAGGCATTTTCACACTTCTCGTTCGTGGCTTCGGATTTTCGGTTAATGATTGTGGACATTCAAGGAGTCGCGGACAGCTACACAGATCCGCAGATTCATTCAGCAGATGGCCGCGGATTTGGTGTTGGGAATCTCGGGACTTTTGGAATGGAGAAGTTCTTGGAAAGTCATCGGTGCAACGAAGTCTGTCGGTGGCTAGGACTTCGAAGTATCAACGAGCAATATAAACCAGGTGGAACGGCTGCTCCAGGATATGAGATGCCATTTGGAGGGGCTATTAAAAAGTCAACAAATCGAATAACAGAAGAACGCAACACATTCTCCACATCAGTTACAGTTAGCGAAGCTTTTGGCGATACAGCTACTGAAATTTTAACGGAGCGGAAGGACTCTATATTGAAAAGCGGAGACGAAGAGGATGAGGAAGATAATGACGAAGCGGACGGCAAGGACTTATACGAGCACTCTGATTCAACTTCGTATGCTACGGACTCGTCGCCTACGATGTCGGCGCTGCAGCCACGGCACATGAAACTGCAGTGGTCAAAGCAGCTACATTTTTCCTCTCCAGCCGCTTTACCTGGTCGTAGTGGTGGGAAGCTAAGAAACAGATTAAGTGAAAGTGAAAGTGGTAGTCGGTTACGCTACCTACATCGTGGTAAAGCTTCCAGTCTCATTACAGGGAGTTCTGGTGATGAACGCGATAGCTTCTGGACTTGCATGTTTCGGACTTTACTGTGTGGGTGTACGTGATCTTATGGTATCGATCGCAAACTGCTTATACTTGATAATGAGCAAAACTATTGGAGTGTTTGCTGGTTCTGAAGAGCCGTAATTGATGGCAATATTGTGCTTTAAATTCGTCAATTTGAGAGCGTTTCATTGACCTTAATTCCTTCACGTCTATTCAGAACACAAATCATTTCCAAGACGTCTTTTATACAAGTTCAATATGATCCTTCTCAAAAAGAAATTGAAATAAGTGGCTATGATTGAAACACTGGGTCTGCGAAGCTAAAAGCTTGCCACATGATATTCATCTCATTTAAAGTCCTGTGCTTGCCAAGTGGTCCTCGGTAAAAAAAATTTGTGTAAAAACGCTGAAACACTCGTCAAATTGGACGTGCAGTATAAGATTTGCAGCAAATTACTTGCAGCCTTGCGTTCCATCATATACAAGACACCTTGTAACTCAATATGTCAGCGCTAGCTTGCTCTTTCTATAGACTTATTCTTGTGCTTCTAGGCCTGCATCAGTCCAATTCAATGCAGATACTCACAAGACTCATTAATTAGTCAGGATGGGTGCCATGTAACTGAAAGCAATCGTGATCTATCAAGCTAACGAGCCGGCTACGGAAAACTAACCAAAATTCTACTAAGCATCGGCAACAAATACTTACCAAGCAGGTTTAGAACTGATTAAATCAGATATGTCGCTTAGCTATAATATATAATCTCCAATTCTCCACAAATTAAGCAACCATAGCTAGCTGATTATGTGCTTTGCTACAAAAATACGTTTATCGGCACAGAAATCTAGTAGAAATCAAAAAGAAGTACGTAGCAAAATTCCTGATTGCAACAAAGTACTTCAGTGGCTGCAACCCTTGCGAATACACATTGTGTATCTCACACGTACTTGTGTCTTCTGTGATCCAGCGTTTATACTGGGCGATGTCATACACCGATGCACACACGCAGTTGACGAGACGGTCTTCAGTGTGTTTGAAGAAGCCAATACATCCTATAGTGAGGTGGTAGCGTCTAAGAGGACAATGATGTGAGCTGAATGAACGTTTAGCAAGAGATGTGGCAGTAAGGAGATTGCCACAACAGGAAGAAAAACGGTTGGTAGAAGCTTTGGTGTAGGAATGGCGTTCATTGCTGGAAAGGGTGATCGAGTGTGGATGTTGAAAGAGGTAGAGGCCAATGGTGCGGGAATGTTTGTAATGGTCTGTGTTTGGATGATGGCATCGTGTTTATGCATTGTGTGTCAGTGTCGTCTAGTGGTTAGGACGCGAGTTTTACACGCTCGAGATCGAGGGTTCGACCTCCTCCTCTGATATCTTGTTTGCTCCTTTTGCCGATCTCTTGTATATGTGGTGACCGTTGCTCTCGTGCTTGATAGTACACATCGGACAGTCAACAGCCTACCACTCGTTTTGATGTGCTCAGTTGATGCTTTGTGGTTCGTTCAGTGGCGGCCACCCGCAAAGGGAGGTCTTCTGGGATCCAGCGTTCATACTGGGCGGTGCCTTACACAGATGCACACACGCAGTTGACGAGACGGTCTTCAGTGTGTTTGAAGAAGCCAATACATCCTATAGTGAGGTGGTAGCGTCTAAGAGGACAAAGATGTGAGCTGAATGAACGTTTAGCAAGAGATGTGGCAGTAAGGAGATTGCCACAACAGGAAGAAAAACGGTTGGTAGAAGCTTTGGTGTAGGAATGGCGTTCATTGCTGGAAAGGGTGATCGAGTGTGGATGTTGAAAGAGGTAGAGGCCAATGGTGCGGGAATGTTTGTAATGGTCTGTGTTTGGATGATGGCATCGTGTTTATGCATTGTGTGTCAGTGTCGTCTAGTGGTTAGGACGCGAGTTTTACACGCTCGAGATCGAGGGTTCGATCCCCTCCTCTGATATCTTGTTTGCTCCTTTTGCCGATCTCTTGTATATGTGGTGACCGTTGCTCTCGTGCTTGATAGTACACATCGGACAGTCAACAGCCTACCACTCGTTTTGATGTGCTCAGTTGATGCTCTGCGGTTCGTTCAGTGGCGGCCACCCGCAAAGGGAGGTTTTCTGGGATCCAGCGTTCATACTGGGCGGTGTCATACACAGATGCACACACGCAGTTGACGAGACGGTCTTCAGTGTGTTTAAAGAAGCCAATACATCCTATAGTGAGGTGGTAGCATCTAAGAGGACAAAGATGTGAGCTGAATGAACGTTTAGCAAGAGATGTGGCTGTAAGGAGATATCAATTCATTTAAATTTTATTCATTTTTCAATTTTAATTGATGATATAATAGGACAAGTTTTGATTGTCGCAACAGGAAGAAAAACGGTTGGTAGAAGCTTTGGTGTAGGAATGGCGTTCATTGCTGGAAAGGGTGATGAGTGTGGATGTTGAAAGAGGTAGAGGCCAATGGTGCGGAAATGTTTGTAATGGTCTGTGTTTACCAGAGATGTGGCAGTAAGGAGATTGTCACAACATGAAGAAAAACGGTTGGTAGAAGCTTTGGTGTAGGAATGGCGTTCATAGCTGGAAAGGGTGATCGAGTGTGGATGTTGAAATAGGTAAAGGCCAATGGTGCGGAAATGTTTGTAATGGTCTGTGTTTGGATGATGGCATCGTGTTTATGCATTGTGTGTCAGTGTCGTCTAGTGGTTAGGACGCGAGCTTCACACGCTCGAGATCGAGGGTTCGATCCCCACCTCTGATATCTTGTTTGCTCCTTTTGCCGATCTCTTGTATATGTGGTGACCGTTGCTCTCGTGCTTGATAGTACACATCGGACAGTCAACAGCCTACCACTCGTTTTGATGTGCTCAGTTGATGCTCTGAGGTTCGTTCAGTGGCGGCCACCCGCAAAGGGAGGTCTTCTGGGATCCAGCGTTCATACTGGGCGGTGTCATACACAGATGCACACACGCAGTTGACGAGACGGTCTTCAGTGTGTTTGAAGAAGCCAATACATCCTATAGTGAGGTGGTAGCATCTAAGAGGACAAAGATGTGAGCTGAATGAACGTTTAGCAAGAGATGTGGCTGTAAGGAGATATCAATTCATTTAAATTTTATTCATTTTTCAATTTTAATTGATGATATAATAGGACAAGTTTTGATTGTCGCAACAGGAAGAAAAACGGTTGGTAGAAGCTTTGGTGTAGGAATGGCGTTCATTGCTGGAAAGGGTGATCGAGTGTGGATGTTGAAAGAGGTAGAGGCCAATGGTGCGGGAATGTTTGTAATGGTCTGTGTTTGGATGATGGCATCGTGTTTATGCATTGTGTGTCAGTGTCGTCTAGTGGTTAGGACGCGAGCTTCACACGCTCGAGATCGAGGGTTCGATCCCCTCCTCTGATATCTTGTTTGCTCCTTTTGCCGATCTCTTGTATATGTGGTGACCGTTGCTCTCGTGCTTGATAGTACACATCGGACAGTCAACAGCCTACCACTCGTTTTGATGTGCTCAGTTGATGCTCTGCGGTTCGTTCAGTGGCGGCCACCCGCAAAGGGAGGTCTTCTGGGATCCAGCGTTCATACTGGGCGGTGTCTTACACAGATGCACACACGCAGTTGACGAGACGGTCTTCAGTGTGTTTGAAGAAGCCAATACATCCTATAGTGAGGTGGTAGCATCTAAGAGGACAAAGATGTGAGCTGAATGAACGTTTAGCAAGAGATGTGGCAGTAAGGAGATTGCCACAACAGGAAGAAAAACGGTTGGTAGAAGCTTTGGTGTAGGAATGGCGTTCATTGCTGGAAAGGGTGATCGAGTGTGGATGTTGAAAGAGGTAGAGGCCAATGGTGCGGGAATGTTTGTAATGGTCTGTGTTTGGATGATGGCATCGTGTTTATGCATTGTGTGTCAGTGTCGTCTAGTGGTTAGGACGCGAGCTTCACACGCTCGAGATCGAGGGTTCGATCCCCTCCTCTGATATCTTGTTTGCTCCTTTTGCCGATCTCTTGTATATGTGGTGACCGTTGCTCTCGTGCTTGATAGTACACATCGGACAGTCAACAGCCTACCACTCGTTTTGATGTGCTCAGTTGATGCTCTGCGGTTCGTTCAGTGGCGGCCACCCGCAAAGGGAGGTCTTCTGGGATCCAGCGTTCATACTGGGCGGTGTCATACACAGATGCACACACGCAGTTGACGAGACGGTCTTCAGTGTGTTTGAAGAAGCCAATACATCCTATAGTGAGGTGGTAGCATCTAAGAGGACAAAGATGTGAGCTGAATGAACGTTTAGCAAGAGATGTGGCAGTAAGGAGATTGCCACAACAGGAAGAAAAACGGTTGGTAGAAGCTTTGGTGTAGGAATGGCGTTCATTGCTGGAAAGGGTGATCGAGTGTGGATGTTGAAAGAGGTAGAGGCCAATGGTGCGGGAATGTTTGTAATGGTCTGTGTTTGGATGATGGCATCGTGTTTATGCATTGTGTGTCAGTGTCGTCTAGTGGTTAGGACGCGAGCTTCACACGCTCGAGATCGAGGGTTCGATCCCCTCCTCTGATATCTTGTTTGCTCCTTTTGCCGATCTCTTGTATATGTGGTGACCGTTGCTCTCGTGCTTGATAGTACACATCGGACAGTCAACAGCCTACCACTCGTTTTGATGTGCTCAGTTGATGCTCTGCGGTTCGTTCAGTGGCGGCCACCCGCAAAGGGAGGTCTTCTGGGATCCAGCGTTCATACTGGGCGGTGTCATACACAGATGCACACACGCAGTTGACGAGACGGTCTTCAGTGTGTTTGAAGAAGCCAATACATCCTATAGTGAGGTGGTAGCATCTAAGAGGACAATGATGTGAGCTGAATGAACGTTTAGCAAGAGATGTGGCAGTAAGGAGATTGCCACAACAGGAAGAAAAACGGTTGGTAGAAGCTTTGGTGTAGGAATGGCGTTCATTGCTGGAAAGGGTGATCGAGTGTGGATGTTGAAAGAGGTAGAGGCCAATGGTGCGGGAATGTTTGTAATGGTCTGTGTTTGGATGATGGCATCGTGTTTATGCATTGTGTGTC